TTGTAAGAATTGTTCTAGACATGTCGAAAATTTGAAGCTACTGCACAGCAGCTCTTCTTCTTCGTTTTCTCTGATGCACTAACTCTGCAGCAGCACTTCTTCTTCGTCGTCTCGTCTGATGCGCTCACTCAACCAAGCGTTCTCAACCACTACCTCGCCCCTCCCCACCCCCCAACCATTCGAATTTCTGTAGGTGGGAATTCTTTGAAATAATATTCCAATGAGCCGCTTTGTGATATCACAAAGCCCGGAAAACAAACGATGTAGTCCAAACGAGCCGTTCATTGTAGTTCTTGAAAAGGGATCTAAAAAAAACTAAATATCTCCCTTTGGAGTGGACTTTGAGATTTGTAACTTTCTAGATCTTTTTTATGGCCAAACATACACACTGACTAAAATTAAAAAAGGGAAAAAGGATTAATCCACCCCTTTAAGAACACTTTTATTGGTAATTGTGTTGACGAGATGACTTGGCTGGCAGTTTTTGTGTATGCTGGTTCTGAATGTGTGTGTGTGTCTGTTTGTTAGCATTTGTGCTAAGTGAGAGTGTTGTCCACTCAAATCCTGACTCAGCCTTGTAAAGGGTGTGTCTCAGCGGGGTCCGGTCTCTGCGGCAGCGCCTCAGGCTAATTCAATCCGCCAGGGACGGTAAAGACACCGTCGCATCTCCTTCATAAAAGTCTGTGTCCTACCCCAAACAGAAAGAGCCGTGCCGTGAAAAGACGGCATCGGTAAAGGTAAGACAGGGAACGACACCAAAAGAAGGGCAAGAGGGAGTCGTCCATTCCATTATTACTGTAAATACAATGGCTACATCGCGGCCCCAGCGTCCAGAGTTTCCAGTCACCCTCTATTGACAGAGCCATAAATCAAGGCCAGAGCTAAGTGAATTACTGCAGCAGGGGGCTGTGGTTTTAACAATGTTTATGTAGTATCAGCTTACCATCTCTCCTGAAAGAGAGCGAGAGATTGGAGAGGGTGAGTGCGGAGTCTTATTAACTCCACTGCGATACATCACGGCTTAAAGACCCAACGCTGCCGCACATCCCAGGCATTATACTAATAACCAATAACCGAATATTACCTCTATTAAGAGCCGCCTAATTAGATTGTTCCGGTTACAATTAAATACTTGATAAGGTTCGATCCATTAAAGGACTGTCAGTCCCAGACCGCTCCAAAGGCCTGCCAGCAAGGTGCGAGAGAGCCGAGGACCGATGCATCACCGAGACATTTTATTAGTCGCATCGGTTGTAATGACGCTGGATGAAAGAAGGATCTGGCACCCGTTATGGTACCAAGTACCACGCTCTTTTGCTCTCCGTCGGTGCTCGTGCGGTTTTCAAGTGTTGTTGACTGAACAGCTGGTTGTTGCGGTGCCTACCCATTGTTACGAACAGGTGCATGCATTGTGTGTGAGTGTGTGCTGTCACGGACCTTCTGAGTTGGAGTAGATGCCATTTTTAATTTGATTTGAACAACGACATGGCCGTGCGGGATAAGAGTATGGCCTGTGTAATAAGGCGGAATGGCTTTAAGAAATTTCATAGCCTGTTCTTAAGTGTTTCCACAGTTATTGGCATTGTAAATCTAGCAAAGTTTTTATATATTTTTAGTTTTAAAAAATGTCATTTAATGCACATACCATACTTTGTATTTTATTACATTGGCATTAAATCACAGGAAACTGTTTAACAATGCTGTAGCAAATATTTCTAATCCAACAGCTGAGAGACCAACATATTTTCTCAATATTTTTTTCCTCCTCTGGAAAGTAATAGAAATGCTATCATGGATTTTTGTTTTGCTGTTGGTGCAAATGGGAAAGCAAATATATATATTTGTTGTAGTTTGTTCACCACTATAGAAGTTTACACAACTATGATGACTTCTGCTTCTCAGAGCTCTGGAAATGTGAAAAGTGTCCATTATTTACTCACCCATATGTTGTTCCAAACCTGTATGATGTACTTTCTGAGAAACCCAAAAGAAACCTCTCGTCCTTGCAAAAAACATGTTGTTCTAATGTTGTTGTTTTGGACCCCACAGTTGAAACATTTTCAAAATATCTTCCCACCCTCATGTCATTCCAAAACTGTTTGACTTAATTTCTGAGAAACCCAAAAGTAAACTTTCATCTTTACAATTAAAGTCAGTGTTGCAGTTTTGGACCCCATTGACTTTCATTAAATGGACAAAAAAGTTGGAACATCTTCAAAATGTCTTCTCACCCTCATGCCGTTCCGAAACTGTATGCCTTAATGTCTGAGAAACCCAAAATAAACTTTTCATCCTTACAATTAAACTCAGTATTGTTCCAGTGTTGTTGTTTTGGACCCCATTGACTTTCATTATATGCGCAAAAACAGTCGAAACATCTTCAAAATATCATCTTACCCTAATGTCATTCCTAACCTGTATGACTTAATTTCTGAGAAACCCAAATGAAACCTCTTTCGTCCTCACAATTAAAGTCAATGTTGTTTCACTGCTGTTCTTCAGTATCTTCTTTTGAGTTCTGTGAAAGTCAGTCAGTCATACAGGTTTGGAACGACATGAGGTTGAGTAGATATTCAACAGACTTTATTTCTGTCCATCACAGCCTCATTTTTTATTTCTATTAAATCAAAACGGCGTCCATCCTCACTAAAATCCCTCTGCGTCCCCCCTGCGTGAGCGTGTGTGTGTGGCTATTTTGAACCAGCAAGCCCATAAAAACATGTCCATCCCCATCTGCATGAGCAATCCAACCAAGCACAAACCCACCACAACCTCCACATCCTTTCTTCATAGAGTCCCTCTTCTCCATCCTTCCTCTCTGTCGTTTTCTGACCAAGCTCCTCTGTTTGTCTCTTTGCAGCGAGTCCTCACGCCACGCCGTCAAGTCTTCATTTCCCGACGTCGCCAATCATCCAGCAGCCTGGCTCGTACTTCCCCCACCACGCCATCCGCTACCACCCCCAGGAGACGCTCAAGGAGTTTGTCCAACTTGTCTGCCCTGACAGTGGTCAGCAAGCTGGACAGGTGGGCTTCCTTAATGTAAGAAGGAGCATTTTTGTACATACATACACACTCCTACTACTTTCTTATCATGTTTTGTATGCATATAGACAACTAGTTGGCTGGATTGTCATGTTTGTAGTGATTTTTCTGTTTTGCTCATTTGTGCAGTGCAGTTGATGCTAGAAACATACGTACAACAGGATAGATAGAAAGATTATACCGTATACGAGAATAGCACTTATACCTTACTTACTCCACATAAGTATGTACATTTCTAGCTACACATGGTCCTAAATAAATTCAGTTCATTCTGCAGGGCATTCTCAATGCTGCCACAAGGGGCACTGTTGCAGGCATTATAGAAAACTGTCTTCTTTTATAGTAAGTTTTTTTTAGGTAAATTACTGTAATGGCAGACAGTATCTAGTACCTTAAAGTAGTTGAAGTTAGTTAATGTAGACATGCGAAGCTAACGCTAGCACCCCCTGTACTGACGTTTATTACTGCACATTAAAATACAACAAAAAATATTTAATTGTATTTATTAACATATATAATGTAAATTTTAATATTAAAAATAAATATTATGTATATATTATAAATGTGAAATTAGTGCTGTCAATCGATAAAAAAAATGTAACTAATTAATCGCACATTTTTCTGAAATTAATCGCGATTAATCCCACCTAACATTAAAGTTTTTAAATATACTTTTATATTGCAATAATTTCACATTCAATCTTCAAATTAATGTACAAACAACATAAATACCGTATATTTTTTATATTTGATTAATGGCATCTTTTTTTATGACTGAAGGCCAGTATCAATGAACAATCTTCACATAAACCCATTATAATAAATGTCATATTTACCTGTGCCCTTCAGCAGAAATATACAGAAATTCAACAATTGAAGTTATCAAACACAAAATTCTAAATTAAATATAGATTAATCCTTAAAGCTATAAAAGTAATTTTTCCCTCTTTTTTTCTTTGTCCTTTGATTAATAGACATCACATCATCTGGTTATTAGTTTATTGTGGCTGTTATTTCTTTAAGAGCTGCCGCTGCTGTTTTAAGGCAGCTTTAATCGCCTTTTTTGGTAACTTCATGACTTAACTGACCACGACATTGCATGCACGTAGTTTATTTTGCGCTTTGATATGAAAGGATACAGGCTACAGTGCGCGCCGGTGCCTTTGTGTGTGCAATTGAAGAGCACGCGCTGCGAACACAGTACCGTTTCTGCGACTGAATAATTGCACTTCTTGTCAAGAGAAAAAGTGACAGAAGCAGCAGTTGTGAGTGGGGTGACCAACCCTAGCCCCGCCCCTGCGTTAATTGCGTTAAATAGGTTTTAATGCGTTAAACTGAAAAAAATTAATCGCCTGCATTAACACGCTAATTTTGACACGACTAATATATATATATATATATATTGCGATTGATCGCATCCAAAATAAAAGTTTGTCTATAAATGAAGAATATATATATATATATAGTACAAACACATATTATGTAAACACAAACTTTTATTTTGGATGCAGTTAATCGCGATTAATCGATTTGGCAGCACTATATGTGTTTATATGTGTGTGTGTGTGAGTATACATATATATGTATATACAGTGGGTACGGAAAGTATTCAGACCCCCTTACATTTTTCACTCTTTGTTATATTGCAGCCATTTGCGAAAATCATTTAAGTTCATTTTTTTTCCTCATTAATGTACACACAGCACCCCATATTGACAGAAAAACACAGAATTGTTGACATTTTTGCAGATTTATTAAAAAAGAAAAACTGAAATATCACATGGTCCTAAGTATTCAGACCCTTTGCTCAGTATTTAGTAGAAGCACCCTTTTGATCTAATACAGCCATGAGTCTTTTTGGGAAAGAGGCAACAAAAACTATAAATGTGAAAATGTGATACAGAAATCCCAATCCTTTTGAGAGTTTGACCCAGCTCTTGCCAAACTGCCGTGGCCCTGACAGCTGGAGGAGAGACAGCGAGCAGTTTGGGTCATAGATTATGAACGGTGAAGTGTGCACAGCAGCAGATTTTTTTATGGCTAGGAGCAGCGAAAAATTGCTGAGCACATTCTCCTGACGCACACGTGTGCGATACTTCTGTTGTGCCTGCTGGTCATACGTGTCCAGAAGTTGTTTCTCAGGGTGCTTTTTTCTGTTTTTTCTGTCCTCTTTCTATCCAGCCAAACGGGAGCAGTCAAGGGAAGGTGCACAACCCGTTTCTGCCCACCCCCATGTTGCCGCCTCCTCCGCCTCCCCCGATGGCGCGACCCGTGCCCCTGCCCGTGCCAGACTCCAAACCTCCCTCCACCTCCACCGAGGGAGGCGGCAACTCCCCCACCTCGCCAAGTGAGTACTACGGCCCATCACCTGCCGTCACACACACTCAACACTTGATCCCGAACATAAATTGTCTCGGGTTTCCCAAGCATGCGAAAGCTTATCTTCAGTGTTTTTCATAATGAATAGAATTTCCCATCAAACATGTGCAGTGTCCGTATCAAGCCTTCCTCTCAACAGCTGTACTGCTCCCGATACAATATTGATATTCATTTTGTGTGTGTGTTTAATTCACCACAGCCTACTCCACACCGAGCACGTCTCCTGCTCAGCGCTTTGTCAGCGTGGGCCCCAGAGACCCCAGCTTTGTAAATATCCCTCAGCAGCCTCAGGTGAGTACACATGCACAGATCCGCCGAATCCCTGAAAGTCCATCAAGAGTGCTTGTTGTCTGTCATAATAGGCTTTCAGCGCTGTTATGCTAGCTCATATAACTCCCTCGCTCGCTGTGAGAGCTCATAGCTGATTTATTGTGTGTAATTGGCATGTTCAGACTCGGCCTCAACCTTGATTTATACCACTCACACACATGTACAATCGCTTGCGTGCTACAGATTAGTTGTCATATGGTGCAATTTATAATTTGACATGGCTGTTACAACATTTGGCCACTTTGAGGTTGTCAGGAACAGCCAATAACTGATCAAATGAGCTGTTAACGTTTATTCAACATTTACTCGAGTATAAACAATTTGTAATGACTTAAACCCCGTTCACACTAAGAACGATAACTATAAAGATAACGATATTAGCGTCTACACCAGCGAACGATATCATCTGTTTATTATAATCGCACATGCGTCTGCCGCTTTAAATTCCCAAGCTTGTGATAGCAGGATGGATTCTGATTGGCTGTCAATGTTTGTATCATTCATCAGCTGGAAAAAATTATTCTGAAAGTGATTCCAACTATATAGTTTCTCTGTGGCTTTATTGTTATAGCTGTGGTGTGAACTCTGCTATTCTTTAATATTGAGAAAGATTTTTAGAACTATATCTTTATCTTTATATTTATCGTTCTTGGTGTGAACAGGCCTTTAGGGTAGAAACTGGCACAAGAAAATGCTAGATCTTTTAGTTCTTCTCGTGCTTGTTCCCACGTTAGTCCTGTGTTGAGTAAATGTTGTTTAAACGTTCGTTCGTTTTTCGGTTTCAAATGATTAATGCAGTTTGTGCATTAGGCCTTTAAAGGGATAGTTCACCCAAAAATTAACATTTTGTCATAATTTACTCACCTCAAACCTGTATGAGTTTATTTGTTATGTTGAACATAAAAAGAAGATATTTTGAAGAATGCTGGTAATCAAACAGTTGTTGGTCCCTTTTGACTTCCATAGTATTTCTTTCCCTACTATGGATGTCAGTGGGGACCAACAACTGTTTGGTTCTTCAAAATAACTTATTTTGTGTTTAACATAAGAAAGAAATTATACAGGTTCGGAACAACATGAGGGTGAGTAAATGATGATGAATTTTCATTTTTGGGTGAACTATTCCTTTAATACAGTTTGAAATGACTTGTTACGATATTTGGCTGTTCTGGGGTGGTCAGGATCAGCCGATGTTCAATAACAAATAAGTTGTTAAACTTCAGTGAACATTTACTCAAGCATAAACGTTTTGTGATACAGAAAAGACTTAATTTAATTACAAAATAAATGTAACCATAATCAGTTACAGTTACTGAGAAAAAAAATGTGTGATTAAATTACAGTTACTTATGAAAATGTTAACTATTACAAAGGGGGTAATCTGAATATTTTCTGTAAAAATCTAGGCCATGAATAATATTAATATGTTGCTTTGTCTGTTTTTGATGTGCTCGATGCCTCCTGCCATGTAAAGTTCTTTATGTTAAGCGATGCTATTCTGATGAACAGTAATCAAAAATGTAATCAGTTACATTACTTTAATAAAGTAATTGAAATAGTTACACTACTTATTACATTTTAAATAGGGTAACTTGCAATCTGTAACCTATTACATTTCCAAAATAATTTCCCAAAACTGGTCATTTCTATATAATAGTGTTAAATGTTGTATAAACATTCATTTAAGTTAGTTAGTCATGTTAAAAAGATATTTAGACACTTAAGCCTTACCTAAAATGTATAAGTGTAATTGCATTAGATATAAGATTTCAAAGCAGCTAGCATTTATTTTAAAACTAAAACAACATGAACACAAATTTTAAGAAACCTTTTCATATAAAGTAGGTATCAAGTGATCAAACAATAAATATTATACTAGTCTGTAGTTATCAGGTTGTGCATAACACATTTAAAACTCATATCGCGCAACCACTACTATTAATATATTCATAAATGGGCATCAGGATCACCCTGTTAATGTAAATGAACTTGTGTTTGTTTTTTGCAGTTGTGTAAATGCCGGCTGTAACCTTAATCGTCACACACACATATCTACAATGACAAATACAGCCTGTACTGCCACCTGCAATTGCACAAACATACAAAAAAAGAGCATGTTACCTTTGTAAAAGCAGCTATAACACACCAACAACACACACACACACACACAGCTGAGACGATACCACGCTCATAGAGAAACACTTAAGACTGGATTGGATCAGATTGTGTGTGTGTGTGTGTGTGTGTGTGTGTGTGTGTGTGTGTGTGTGTGTGTGTGTGTGTGTGTGTGTGTGTGATATGTCCGTATGTCCGATGAAATGGTGAATTTCTGGTGAAGTGACTCTCAGGGCTGTTCTGAAGATGAAGTTCACATGTTTATATCCTCAGAAGCGCCTCAAACACACCCGAGATTATTTCGCGGACCCCACTTTGAGAACCCCTGTATTTTTAGGATAATCAGTGTAAACTTACAATAGGTCCTTCGCACAGTTTTGAGACCTTTACCACTGTAACTGGTGAAGAAAACGAGGCGTTGATCATGGTAAATACCTTTCATAGCGGTGGTATCTGGTACTCTTTGTTAGTGTTTAAGCTAACTGTATCGATGATCTTTTTTCCGCCAGCTGTGATTAACACACCGATGAAGACGTTTCAACAGACGCTCAACCCCTCCGTCTCCTCACGTCTCCGGCCTCATGCTCGACTAACGAGTTTGAGTTGCGCTTTTCTCTCCCCGGGGCGTTTCTGCTTCTTCCCTCAGAGTCTGCATGTTCGGCTCCGTCTCACACAGCCATGCAGAACCATCACCCGAAGGAACACTTGTATAAAATCCTGGTGATCGGGGATCTGGGTGCGGGGAAAACCAGCATCATCAAGCGCTACGTGCACCAGAACTTCTCACCGAACTACCGCGCGACGATCGGCGTGGATTTCGCGCTCAAAGTTCTCAACCTCGACCAGGAGACCGTCAGACTACAACTCTGGGACATCGCCGGTAATTTTTTTTTTCCCATACATATTCTTCTGGGCCTAAGATTTTAAAGTTACTAAATAAATAATAGGTACACAATTTTATAAATGCATTAATTTGTATAGTCATATGTAGCCTACAGTCTTAGACATTGACATGTGCCTAGTATTTTACGTTATTTTTCTTTACTCTTAACTTGTCACAACGTTGTGAATAACTTGCAGATTATTCAATTTTATTGCTTTCTGGTTTTCTTTTTGATATTAAAAGCTGACCCCAAAAAAGCCCATATAGGCTAGAGTTTTGCAATTTCATATATAATTTATATAAAGGCTTTATATAACTTTATAATGTTATGTGAACCAAACTTATTCAAATGTGTCGTAATGTAATTACGAAGCCGCATTGTTTTATTCTCAAGTCTCTTGAATAACGTCGCTCACGCACGCTCGCCCTGTCATGTGTTCGTCGCTCATGTGAGGGAGATTTCCACCTAAACAAACCAGAAGGAAAACAGGAACGTCGTTGTAAATATATTAAAATGAGCAGGGGCATCAGAGAGGAGCGTGATTTGTTTTTTACTTTTATGCTAATGCATCAATGCGAATCGGTGAATCTTACCATCCCTAATAGATGTTATACTAGTCTGTAGTTATCATGAGACATATAAAACTCATATCGCTCAACAGCTACTGTTAATATATTCATAAATGGACATCCTGTGTTTGTTTTTTGTAGTCGTATAAATGCTAATACCTCTGAAATGCCGCCTGTAACCTTAATCATCAAACACACATATCTGCAATGACAAATACAGCCTGTACCACCACCTGCACTCGCACAAACAGACAAAAAAAGAGCACGCGTTACCTCTGTAAATGCAGCTATAACACACCAACACACACACAGCTGAGATGATACCACGCTCATAGAGAAACGCTTAAGACTGGATTGGATCAGAGAGAGATTGTGTGTGTGTGTGTGTGTGTGTGTGTGATATATCCGGAGGCCTGCAGCAGCCTCCCATCGATTTATTGACTGTGTCGCAGGCCGCAAGACAAGCATCCCCCAGTAGAATGGAGGCAGGTGTTTGTCAGGCCGGCTGGGAGGGGAGCGGGGGGTTGTTATTATTTATTGTTTGTATTTATTTATTACTCCTGCCCACCTCTGCCTCCCCTTCTCTCTCTCTTTTTCTCTCTCTGTCCTTCTCTCTATCACCTTTTCCTCTCTCCCTCCCTTTTTTCTTTCGAGCTCAGGTGGTGCCTAAGGTTCAGGCTTTCTATTTGTTTATCTATCTGTACTGAAGATTGCTACCACTGCTTATCTGTTCTTATGCTTGTTACCTGTTTAGTGGGGTTTTTTTGTTTTGTTTTTTTCTCTATTCTTTTTGGCTTTATTGCTGTTTAGTTAGTTTTAATGTGTGTGTGTGTGTGTGTGTGTGTGTGAGTGTGTGTGTGTGTGTGTGTGTGTGTGTGTGTGTGTGTATATGTGTATAT